CCCACACTGGCTGCATCCTGCCCTGACATCCCGCAGCTGGGGGGGACACGGGGAGCTGTGGTCCCCCTCCAAGCACCTGTCCCTGTCTCCCAGAACAACAACGCGGACAACCCCAGCTGTGCCGGTATCGAGGGCGTGCTGGAGTCCTACCTCCAGAGCCTGCGCACTGTCCAGCTCTATGGTCCCACCAACTTTGCCCCTGTCATCAACCAGGTGGCTGGGTGAGCACCGGGGGTCTCTGTCCTCTTTGCTGTCCCCAAATGCCACCAGTCCCACAGTGGGGCCGGCTGTCCGCGCCAGTGGGGCTGCTGGAGGGAGCACATCCCTTGTCCCCATAGGGCGGCCGCCCAGGTGACTGACGGCTCGCAGTACCACGTCCTCCTCATCATCACTGACGGCGTTATCTCCGACATGCTGCAGACCAAGGAAGCCATTGTCACTGTGAGTGCACCCTCATCACCGTGAGTTCACCCCATGCCAGGTGCTGTCCCGGCTGCCACCCTGCCTCTGTTCCACAGGCTTCTGCCTTGCCCATGTCCATCATCATCGTGGGAGTGGGTCCAGCTGAGTTTGAGGGTGAGCTGGGGCTTGGGAACACCAGAGAAGGGGGAAAGAAACACCATCCCTTCCTCTGAGACGCCAAAGGCGTCCTTCCCGGAGGAAGGGATGGTGTTTCCGTCCCTGGTGGCAACACCACCGAGGCTCGGTGACACTGGCTGTCCCCCCCCAGCCATGGAGGAGTTGGATGGTGATGAGGTGCGGGTGTCTTCCCGGGGACGCTTCGCCGAGAGGGACATCGTACAGGTAACACTGGCATTGAGCCCAGTCCCACCACAAGCGAGAGATGCTCAGCCCCTTGCTGACCCCTGCAGCTGCAGAGTTGTTTCCAACCAGGCTGCAAACTTCCTTCCCTCAAAGTTCGTGCCGTTCCGGGATTACGTGGATGACTCAGGAAACCAGGTGCTGAGCATGGCCCGCCTGGCCAAGGACGTGCTGGCTGAGATCCCTGAGCAGCTCCTCTCCTACATGAAGACCCGTGACATCAAGCCTCGCCGGGCAGACCCCCAGTAGCTCCTCCATGGGCTGTGGGACCGGCTGATGGGGCAAGGACATGTGTCACCTTTCTTCTGCTGGTGGCCAAGGCTTAGCCATGGAGATATAGCCCCCCCCGAGTGATAATGAGCTGCTGTGGCTGGTGAACAGGGCTGGGACCTTTCTCTTTTGGCAGCAAGACCATGGGGCTGGACATCCCCGGCCACCCCCTCCTCCGGCCCGGCTGGCAGTGATGCCCCGACACAGCAGGGCCATCTCAGACTGTAGGGCAGTGCCGGTGCCCGGGCACAGGCTGGGGGGGGCCACGGTGTGTCCCCCCCTAGAGGGCAGCCCGGCTCTCTGCCCCGGGGAGGAG